TTTTGATCGACGTAGGATATACCAGTTAATTTGAAATGAAATTCGACTAACTTTATAGCACAGAAATGTCACCTTCGCTAAACAGATCACTGAATTGCTCAATTATCAGCGTGCAGTGAAATGAATCTGAAATTTATTCATAAAACATTCGAGCGCAGTTCTGTTCTGCTTCTATTATAATTCCAGAATGTGAACCTTTTTATGTAAGATTACACGGAAAGAAATACTTAAAACGAGGCGATAACGTTCTCTACTGCTAACAGTGATCTTTAAATTTCGAAAGCTATGCAGAAAAATAACATTTAAAGTTGTTATTGCTGCTAAGCTAAACTAAGCTACCAATCTTCAGTGATGAATTACAACACACACACACACACACACACACACACACACACACACACACACACACACACACACACACACACACACACACACACACACACACACACATATATATATATATATATAACTCACTCACTCACTCATTCAAGCGTTCCTTTCATTTCATTTCTAATTATAACAAATTAAGCGCTACCGTTGTAGCAGTAGCAGCTGCAATATCTTTTGTTTTACATCAATCAGTTTGTTTTTGTTATTTCTTCTTTCCTTCTTGCCTCGCCTCTGTGCTCTTTTTTTTCTTCCATTCAAACATTTTCCATTCTTATATATTTCTCTCTTAATTAAATTTCGTTTACACAGTGAAAATTGCAATCCACTTTTCCTTTTTTTTTTTTTGAGAGTTCAGTTGAAAAATAATTACGGATAGCTTCTATTTTTCACTCAAACAAATTGTCCATGTCATAAAACAGCGCCCTCATGCACATTCCAATTTGTATGGCATTTATGTCATTCAAATAATTATTCATTCATCTTATTGATTTGAAATAAAAGAAAGAATGCCTTCCTTTTATAATAAACAATCGACACTACTGTAGTTGACTAATGTTCCGTTGGTCATCACTGCCTCAATTTTGGTTCTAATTTCAATGGCTGGTTGTGTTTTTTTAAAACTTTATGTAATTTTAAACTAACCGATTATGTCTTGGATATTTTCAACGAAGAGATGAATGCACTGGAAAGTTTTCGTAGGAATTGTTGGTGAGAAAGATTATTTTGTTAATAAATTGAAATTTGTGCTAGAATTGAACTGATTAAGATGAGGGAATTTTAGGGTGAATTTTAATTAAATTAGAAATAATAATCGTAGTTGCCACTACGATTATTATTTCTTTGTGTGTGTGAAATTAAAAACGACTTGTCAAAGTTCGAAATGACCCAATTTATGGAATATTAACTTGAAATTATAACCTATGAATAAAAATTGATTACATATCAGTTATAATAGTCAATTCATTTTACCTCGAAAAATTTGGTTTTTCTCATTTCTGTATATTTAACTAGCTGAATTCCTCAATTATTTGCAAAGCTATTTGTTGAATTAAGTTGTCAAATCTAACTTTTATAACTTCAGTTTATTCGGATGCAATTCATAAATTTATCACATTACATTACAAAGTATTATACTTTGCTCCATTTGACAATTTGTTTGATTCGTATCTTTCGTAAATGAATTTCATTTTTCTCTGAAATGATTTTGAATTTTTGTATAAGAAGCAGTCAATTTGATTTTTAGAACTTTTCGCTGACTAAAAGGCTTGTTTATTCTTCTTAATATAATTTCTTTTTTTTTTTTTTTTTTTTCACTAGCTTATTCTTAATATATATTCTCTTCATTTTTTTAGTGATTATAGGTCCGGTTTTTGTGTGTTACACTCAAACCGTGTTATTTTATCTTTACAAAAACTATCCTGAAAACTACTCAACAATAATATTGAACTATCCATCAGCAACATAGGATGATACATTGATCAGAAATACAATAATGATTTTTTTGTTTGAATTAGTCTTTAGCTGATAAAAGGGGATGTTCTGTTTGATATTATAATTTTCAGTTCGAACTGTTTTTGAAGTATTTCTTCGATCGGTGAAAAGTAGCTTTCGTTTCGTCTGCATGCGTGGTTTTCAGTATTGTTGTAAACATTATTTGAATGTGGGAATGATATTAAGCCTTGTAGGTAAACATACCTGACTGATTTAATTTTGAAAATTCCTGAGATTTAAAGAAAAGATTGAATTTTATATATTATGCCACACGTTACGACGTCTTTTTAGATCAAAATTCACAAAAAAATTTCATTCTAACTTTCTTGTCAGTTTATTATATTTCTCTGCTCATTTTTATTTTCATTATCTTTCCATGCTCTTATTCTTCCGACAGAGTCGAAAATTTTCAGTGCCATTTAAAAGCTAAACTATCCACATCTCAATTCATTACAATGTTCTCTTTCATTTAAACTCATAGCAGTGATCAATCAATGATTTCTCTTCTCATCGGGAAATTATTTGTTTGAGTTTCATTAAAATTATCAAAACTGAGGGAAGTTAGAGAGAGAGAGAGAGAGGTATTGAGAGGACCGATGTGGATCATCATCAACTCCTGATAACCGGTTTATTTTTTTCACTTTTTTTACTTTTTGACACTGTTTGATACTTAATGCAACAAATGAGGTCAATTTGACAGAATCCTTTAACCGGAATTTCAATTTGATGTTAGTAAACTTGTTGTTTGTCACCATTGTTTGATGTTGTAATGGTAATGCCACTTACATTATAATATATGCGTTCGCTACTTAACTCGGAATTCTCTTAATTTCAAATCCATGATTTCAATTTCAGAATGGTAATCATGGATTGAGCCACTTTGTAAAATTTAAGTAAATTGTAAGCAAGAAAGATGTAATAGTCTTTCATATGATTAGCAGGTATACTAATCCATTAAGAATCATCCATTCCTAAAGTATGAAGTTAAGAAATCAATGTTTCAAATAGAATTAAAACAAACTCACATATATATATATTATATCATCGTCATTTATGACGCCATTAACATTATTCACAATGAGAGATATTATTATTTAGGGACTGGAAAGCAATTAGATGAAAAAAAAAAAAAAAAAGAAATAAAACTCAACGAAAATTAACGTTTTCGGGAGAATTGATCTTTGCATTGTTGGCCACAAACAAAAAAAAAAAAAGGGAATCAGCTGTGTAAAAAATAAATAAACTGGCATTGTCTTCATCATTATTATTATAACACCTGAAAATATTTTAACTGCAAACTTTTTTCAAAAATTTATGAGGAAAGCTGTTAATGTTTGTTTAGAAGCTTAGTCATAAAAAAAAACGTAAATAATAATCATAAATTATTACCTAAAAAAAAAAAAAAAAAACATCAATATTCATTTTACCTTCTAAATTGAATCCACAATTTATTTAAGTATGAAATTGAAAAAAAAATTTTTTTTCCGTCTTATCAATGTCACTTTCTTTTGTTCTTGGATGTACACTTTATATTTGTAAAAGGCTCTACCCATGTTTATTACAAACTTGTCGATGACTTAAAAAGCCAATTAAAGGTAGGCTAGTCCTGTTAGAAAGACCGCAAGAAAGTCTCGTGTAGTTCTAACGGACGCTGCTACACGTTGTATTTCCTCTACGTACTTTCTTAAAGATCCATTGAAGAGAGTTCTTATATTTCTGTCCTCTTTAGCTCCTTCTCAAGAAAGTGGTAATCCTCCATTCCTAAGAAATGATCTACCAGAGTAACTGTTTATGTTTCAATACCAGCAATTCCCTTACTCGAGGACAATAGCGCACCGATCATTCTGCAGGATGGATGATGCGGAAGCAACGCTGATGAGAAAGTAATGCTTAATGGATAAGTAAACCTGCTGAATTAACGAAAGCTTAGATGAGTGTAGTTATAGAGTGAAGTTGATAATCTGTCTGTGATGAGAGGTTGATACCGATGCAGTGCAGAACTGCAGCTTCTTAAAAGCATGAAGTTATGCGATGCAAATATTCTTCTGTGTTGGCAATGACGGCGGTAAAGAGCAAGGTACTGAAGGTTGTCTTGTTTCCTACAACTCACAATAAGCTCATGAGATTTAGCGTGAAGTGTTTGGCCTTTATGTCTTTAAATTTCAAATTTCAAGCCCAGGTGTTTTGCTAGATTGCATCTGCTGCATGGCCTTGAGAGTCTCTTCCAAAGAAATCCTAAAATTAATTCGATTAAAATAGCTTACAGCATCTCTTTGACCGATCCTCTTTTATAAGAAAAACAGCTTTTCGTTCTGCTTCCATAAGCTTCAACAGAAACTCCGAGACACCAAGAACAAGGGTGGATCAATCTAAAACAGTAGATTCAACCACGCAAAGACAGAGGACTCTACGAAGTCTTGAAAGTAGTGTTGGACTGATACACTAAGTCCACAGCTTCTTTCTGAGCTCAGATGGCTGCTTCCCTTCTCTTTCTAGGCTTTAGAGTAGTGCTTATGATCGTGAATTGCTCGTATGCACAAAATTCTAGCAAGAGATATCAATTTAAACCATATTTGCTAGTGCTCCTTTCCAGGCTCAGATTTTTTTCGTTTGATATTCAGGTCATCAATGATTATGGTTTTATCATCATTATCACCATCGTTGGAATGACGAAGATATAGATTTTAATTTTTTTTTTTGCCGGATCAGCTCGAAGATTTAGGACATATATACTGAACAAGGCAACATGTTGCTTGTTATTTAGTGGAAGGTGTGTGGAGATAATTTTATTGAAAACGATTAATTTCTTGATTATGAGGCTAACTCCAAGTTGGGTCTCGGGTTTGCCTGATTAGAAGTGTAGTCGGTAATATTCCTTTGAGGCTTCCTTCTTTATGAAGAGGAATTTCACTGAAGATAGCAATGTCGAAGTGGTGACAGCCTGTTGTAATTAAAAGAAAAACGACGTTCGAGAGATTCATTACCCACAATATCAGACATGATTCCTATGTTCTCACATGAAGGTTTTTGATCTTTGATCTTTGAAGGCAGATCTACATTTTGTCTCTTTGTGCAGTTACCTCAGCGGGTGAAACATGGATGACTGAAAAAGTTTCTGATCATCTAGGATGCTGCCTAGCAAGATTGTCATCACCTGGGTTAATCTCGAGTGACCAAAGACCTGAACTATCTGCATGTGGACCAGATCTGCGACTTTCTATCCATCTTTCCCTACTCTTTCATTTACAGGGTTTTTTAAAGGGAAATTTATATCCTTCCTTCACAATACTTTTTTTTTAGTTGAGATACATAATGTGCGGAATTAGACCCATCCTTTTCGTCAGACTGGACAATAAAAGAAGAATCACCAGGCCGCAGATGTGTTGAGGTTCTTTTCTTAGATGTAGAAATGGAGCTAAATGAGCTCCATCTACCCAGGTTTGTGAGTTAAGATCATCTGTCTCTACGATGGCTGCCCAAGTTTTGTCAAGGAGGTGCGACAGGAGAAAATCGAGAAGCATCATTCCATTATCCTACAAAGTTACAGCAGCATCTTACATCGTTTTATCAGACTTTTTCTACCTTCCATCAACAAAAGTAGCATAAAATACAAGGAATGACCATTTGCTTGCCTTCTCGGCTGAAAACTGTTTCGGAGACAATAGCGCCAATTATTCCTTCCCTCTCTATGCCCAGAGCTGTCATCCTTGCGATCGATACTTTTGAGTGAAGGCACTTGTGCGAGGTAGAGCGGAAAAGGCGCTCCAGAACATAAGGCTTCGCATGGACAGGTATTCTGAAAACATTCTCCTAAGAGAGTCTCTTTTCTCGTTTCTCTTCACAGAAAAGGTTTATCATGCTTTTCTAGGAGATGCAACGTTTAGGTGACATTCTGTGATTATCAGTACATCCTAAGTATAGTATCAGTAGGACAGCGTCTTTCCCGTCGTAGTACCCTCGGGGCCTCTTCCTCGCTGATCATTTGTTTTGCGCGATCTCGATGAAACCTTTCTAGAAATTTGAACCATTGTCGCTTGGGAAGAGGCGAGAGAAGGAGATAGAGAAGAGAAAGAGAGGAAGCGAAATAGAAACAAGTGGTAATATCTTAAATTTGTCATCAAATTTAGAATTATTCCTCGCTTTCTACTTTACGACTACTTGCCACTCCTTCTGTCATCCTCATCTCCTGTAGTACCATACAACTACATTTCGTCAAAAAACTTGATGATGAATCTTTGCAGATGTTATTAGCAATTAAGTTTAATTTTAGGACTTAGCAGACATTCAGTTGCCATGGTTGAATAGTCGTTGTCGCTCAAAAACCATAAAATTTCCATTTTTGATATTCTTTTTATCTTACATCTAATTTATGATATTTTAAATTGAGAAAACTATTCTTACATAGTTTATTATTTAAGAAAATAATAAAATTTAGAAGTTATAATGCTTGTTTTCCTTCTTATCTTTGTCCGTCAATTAAAAATTATTACTATCGAAAATAATAGAATTTTACAATAATGTTAAAGTTGGAAGTTTTCATGTTTTACTGTTTGTGAATAGATTACCTATCGCCAAGTTTTTTCACTTTTTCAGAAATTTGGTAAACTTTCCCCTCTACCCAATAAATTATATCTTTGCACATACACTTAGTTTCCTTGTCTGCGCTTTTTCCATTGTTCATATAAAGTATTTTTTTAATTCCTCCACGAGATCGGTTTTGTGCTTCATTTTGGCTTGCCCTCTTGATCGAAATTTGAATTTTTGTTTCTGAGCCATAAATGCTAAATAATAATTGCACAGCTGTCTAACTCTTATCTTCTTGTGATCTTATTTCCCATTCTCTTATATTTATATGTTTAATTGTCCTATTTATCTGTTTACCTGTTTGCACATTCACTGATATGTTACAAGCGTTATTTACTTTGCGTGGCAGTGAAATGGTTTAATTATGAGAGAAATGAAAATAGCAAGTTTCTTTTGCAAATATCTCAAAAATTATTCATTCATTTTTAATTCATTTCGAAAGTACTCATTTTTCCTCTTCTCATCTTTTACTCTAAAAAATTCAAATCGAAAAACATTTAATGAACTTTGACATTTCACTGAAATCAGCAATAGCATAACAAATAATTGGAGATGTATTTGGAATTCTTCATTTCTTTTAGGAGCATTGATTAAAAATGAATTTCCAGAATTTACTGAAAAAAAAGTTATAAATGCGAAAATTATAATTCAAGAGATTAACTTATGAGAAGTTTACTTCTTTTTCGTTCGTATTTAATATTCTGACAAATTAATCTTTTCATATAATTTGTCTAATAAACAAAACTCACGTGTTAGTAACCCAAGCCTTTTATCAGTTATTGTTTGGGCGAAGTTAAAATTGTTCAAATTTTCTGAATAACAAAATATTGCGGTATTGTAGGATTAGCCAAGCGGCATTACATTAAGCTTCTCAAAATGCCTACCATTATCAATTTTATACTGCGGCGAAATGTTAACTGCACTTATTTTAATTAAGAATTATGGATGGCACAGCATATGACAATTGTTTACTAGTTTGATCTTCGCTCTTACTGAAAGTCTAACATAGCAGTTGGCTTCCAATTTTTAAACCTGAAGTTCTGTAAGCAAGAGAAAAAAATAATTCTACTACTTGTACCTTGTTGCAGCTTATATTCCGGTTCAGTTATCAGCGGTTCTGCAGCTTCAACTTAATCCTAATTTCTACAAGTTATAAATATAGAATTGGAATATTCCTTACAATATAATTTTGTTTTTCATATTTTTGCAGGAATCATTTAACAAAGAACAAAACAATCGAAATTTTTTGATGCTAAGCATAATTTCTTTCTCTCTTTCATAAGCATACTTCTGCATAATATACTGATTTTAATATACGAGTTAAATTAATTTAATTGAAATTTAAACAAACTTAAAACTGTTCAAATCTTGCGGTAGTTGTTTGATTATTCAAGTAACATTATATTAAGCTTCGCAAAATGCTACCATTATGAATTTTATACTGCAGCGAAATGTTACTTTTTATGAAAACGGAAAATGAAAATTTCCTACTTCTCGTTTCTTTGTTCTCATCATCCTCCATCTTCGCCAACAACGGATGACAGCCTTGGCAGGGATGCATATCAGAGCGGTGATGATCATCTTAATGATAACAATGACAAAAGATGTAAAAGTGACAGTGATATATATATATATATATATCCTCTGATAGCAAAACTGGACGAGGTATTAAGGAGTGTAGCCTTCTCTGAGTCTTCTCGATGAAACGTTTCGACACATAATTTGAACAAAAAATTGATTTCTAATCATCAATGATTCTATCAGTTACCAGCATATATGATTTGCTGCTGATATTACTTTCTGAATACACAGTTACTTCCACTGATGCTGATATGAGTGATTCTTATAAGAGAAATAAGGTGTTGCTGTTTGTTTCTGCTCTTTCTACTTCTCCTTCACTGCTTACAGCAGTTGTAATTCAATTTGCTTGAGTGCTTTCTTTTCAGTGAACAAATCAAAGCGCCGATCATTGATCATTAAATTGCAATTAATTGTAATCTTATCGAATCAATCTTGTAAATTTGATCAAACCAAAAATTTGTCATCTTATCGAGTTGGAAAAAAGTCAGATGAGTGATGCAACAACTCCTCCACAGGATTAGAAATGTTTAAATTGTCTGCTTAGAATTGCTTATTCAATATTTATTCTTTAGTATAAAACAACATTTTAGAATTTAGTCAAAGCAGTTAAGTTAAATCAAATAGAATGATATCAAAGATATTGCAAAAGTCATTTCAATTCAATTTCTTCTAATATATGGATATGTCTTCTAGCAACCATCTAACATTGTGGACTTCAAAATAATGCCTACAAACATAGAGGGCGATAGAAGTGCATAAACAGAACGTTGATGACGTGATGAGACACGAATCTGATGACGCCATCGATGATGCGTTCTCGAAGCATTTCAAGGATGGCAGTTGTACAGCCTTTGAACCGAAACAGTACAGTGAGGACCGCTTGCCAATACTGCCTTTTGTTTTATTTTGAAATCCCAACTTAACACCAACTAATTTAATTGGTATATTTGTATAGACGAAAAGAAAAAGGGAAAAAGAAAGAGAGAGGGAGGGTTGCTGATAAAACTTGCCAGGTTTCCAAGAATCTTTTGAATAGTCGGCTTGAATTTAATTGACAGAAATATGTGTTTCGCTTTATTAATCTTTAAAATGAGAAAAGAAATATCCAATAAACTAGCAAAGAGAAAGAGAGAGAGAAAGAAAGAAAGAAAGAGAGAGATAGAAGGTGGGCAAATGGACTAAGAATGATATCATTTTGAGAAAGCTAAAAGGATAAAAATGTAGGCCATAGGGCAATCTGATGAAGTTAGTGCCTGTGGGCATTGTTGTTATTCTTCACTTTCTTATGTAAAGAGCAGAGAGGCCAAGCCTTTTCGGTCGACTCTTTAAACAGAAAGTGTTTTTCCATCCCACAAGCGAGCTCTTTGCATGAATTTGATATGAGATGGAAGTGGGTGGATTCTAGCTTATTGCTTAAGCTTGTAAATAGGCACAAAGTTATAGTCCACCCACTTACATCTCACTAATCTCGAAAAATGTGCCTCTGTAAATATGTTTTGATGTGGCAACTTCTTTAATTATTGACGTCATTAGCCTTTTAAGGTGAAAATATTTCAATTTAGTGACGTAATGCAAGAATATAGGCGGCGAAGTCATAGTGTTGATTTCAGCACCTGCAAAGATCGGTTCTGATTGGATCTGAGAAGTGAAATGGGACTTTAGAATGAAGATTCTCTTCCCTCCCCTGAAACTGGAAGCTTGCTATTACTGACATATGTAACTTTATTTGCCGATTTTTTTTTACAGAAAAATTTGCCGGATGAAAATATAAGGAACGGAATGTAGATATTTCATTTGAAAACCGATTTCTTTCAATTATTCGCATTTGTTTTTGCATTTTTAGTGATGAGCGCATCTTATTTGTGTGTTTAATGTATCACAGTAATAGGAGTGTGTCTATAATAGAAAGTCTTTGATCTTTGACAAAATTTCACTTTAATTCATACAATTTTAATCTAATTCTAAATGATATTCGCTGCTTTTTAGGCACATTTCATGAATAGGGAATATTTGTTGCTGACAGTTTTCATATTTGCTGATGGCTTAATACCGTTTATGCAGAAAAATTTTGATAAAAGATGAAATTCTTAATAATAACATTGAAAGTTAGGTATATGTGAGCTTGAATAAATTTCGTATTTTACCGCCCGATCCATTCATGCTTTAGGAAATCAGTGAGGCGTTTATTTTAGCGAATGGAGTTCCATAAGAGGAGGGTATGAAGGAGGAGAAAGGGAAGGTAAGCAAGCAAAAAAAGGTTATTGTCATCGTGTGTTATGTGCATCCCTCATCGGATACTTCGGATTGGCCTATTGGATATTTTTCATTTGAACTTTTCTGTTGTTAGTGCTCCTTATGTCATGAACTTGAAATGGAAATTGAAATTCAACGAGGTCATCCTGTCAAGTCATTTCTTTCTACCCATTCAGAAATAACATATTCAAATAGTGGCAACAGGCAGTAGATGGGTTAATTTCATGAAATGAAATCGTAAACTATCTACCACTATCGTTGGCAAACCTATCCAGAGTGCTGCTTAGCTTTCCCAATCCCGGCTTACAGAGCCAAGAAAAGAGGAGAACCTGTAATGCACCTATAGTTACCGCCTCTCCGACATAAATCAATCCTGAAGCCACCTTCATCTTCATCACATCATATCACACCACACCACACCACACCACATACCATCATACTATCCGTATTTCATCGTTTACATTATTGTATTGCCATTTCTCTTCTTCCTTTATTGCTCTAATAGCAGCAGCAACAGCAGCAGTAGGAGTAGTAGGATCGTGTGAAGGAACTAAGTAACAGTTACGTGGCTCAATTTGCACACAGCTATTGAACTGATCAGCTAAATGGCTTTTAGATTTAGCAATGCTGCTGTGATTATAGCTTGGACAAAGATTATTCAGCCATCACTGAAGCTAACAAAAGGCAAAGATCAGTGTCCGATTGTTTTCTTATCATTCATTCTACATCCTATGCAGCTTTTCTTACTATCACATCACTTTGCACACACACACACACACACTAAATTACAGTTTATTGAATCAGCTCTTTTTGCGCCTTTAAAATTTCGAGCTTCTATTATATAATTTTTTAAAATGAACTTAAGCTTCTACCAGAATATTATCTCTTTAATATTAGAGAATCAGCTATATGCCAAAAAGTAAACTGCAAATAAATAATATGAAATGTAACTCAATTCATTTACTCTTGTTCTTTTTTTTGCTTCATATATGCTTCTGAATGAATTAACACTTTCATATTTGTTTGCATATGTCATTCCTGACAGTATTATTTTTATCACTTCCAGCAGTACTGTATTCTTCATACACCATTGTCAATCTGATATATTGTGAGTGAAATGTATTTATTATAATTATATCTTCCTCAAAATGCCATTTATTTAATTATCATTTGTGATTTAAAATCCAAGACGATATAAATGCAAAATGCTAATCTCTGGTATGGAAATTTCTACTTTGTGCATTAAAAGGCAAAGAAAAATGCTCTATATTTTAATATTTCTGTTCTGATGATACTTTAAAATATGCGTCCGAGAAAATTTGCATAAAATTTCGTTGTTCATCTCTTAACTATGTTTTACATGCATTTCAGTACAGTCCATCGTCAAGTTTGGTTGCTTCAAAAATGACCTCGGAATGTAGCTCTCAAATTTATTCGTTATCAAGCACAACAGAGCTTAATTCAGCACAAGTAATATATTTCTTCTCTTTTCTTTCTTCTTTTTCCACATTTATGTTCCATCTAAAACCAAAGCGTTATTTTGCAAAATTTTGATATTGATTTGGAAAGTTCTGATTATATTATTTGGAGAAGAGCTATATTAAAATTCAAAAATCACTTAAAAATAGCCTTTTTTTTTAAAAAAAAAAAAGAATTATTTCCTTGGTAAGAGATTTTTATGTCATTTTTAACCCAATTTAGAGTCATTCTGAAATATGAAATTGCTTTTTGTGTGCCAGAAAATTATTTGCTGTTTATGATTTCTATAGTTTTCTCAAATCCCACTGTTAAATAAAGTTCGGAAACTTTTACAATAAGTAATTTATACTAAGTAATAAGTAATAATGCTTTTATTATTTTTGAATTTACACTTAGTCACAGTAAATTGTTTTGTTTTGGCATTAAGATTATTTCAGGTGGAACGATTACGCTCAGTGCTCAATGAACAGGTAGAAATTCACGGAAGAGGCAATTTTCCAACGCTCAGCGTACGTCTACATGATTTGATCATCTGTGTACGTGATAGTCTGCGTGCAGCAGGTATTGGTCCAAAAAATGTAAAAATGAACGGTGGTGCTGCATCATACGTCGTGGCAACGGAGGAATTCGCATACTCAGATCTCGACTTGATTTTTCCAATGAGTTTCGAAAGCGAACAAAGCTTCGATAGCGTTAGTCCCAATCTTTTTTTTTTTCCTCGGCTTAAAAATTATACTGTCAAACTTGAAATTGTCAACTGATAACATTAAAATTTTCGAGAATATAAAAATTTATTACTACGAATTCGTCGAATTTAAAAAGTTACTTCAAATATAGAACGAAGTTACGAAGTTTTCATACATCCATTTTCTGTCCTGCACAATCTCATTGAAAATATAAATTTGTTGAATTTTGCTTCTTCAGAAAGATTATTGTATGTGAAAGAAGTGTCGTAACTGATGTCATAACTATCATCTTCAAATAGATTATTGCGATTTATGAAGATTAATTGAAATTTAACATTGTTTACTTTTTGATTACTCTATTTGCTGGATTGCATTTAAGGCAGTAATGTCTATTTACTTTATTCGAGATGAGCAACGTTCCAAAATTTATCACTATTTTGACCTTTCAGATCACTTTCTGTCAGGTAAGTTAACAAATTGGTAAACCAATATGAAGACAGGTAATTTTAGGTAAGATCGGCTGTTTTTGATGCTATGGTGCAATTAATGCCAGAATCGACTAACAAAGAAAAGATATCGGCCAATACCTTGAAGGATATTTATATCCGAAAAATGGTTAAAGTTTCGGATGGTGATCGCTGGTCACTGTTCTCGCTTCACAATGATTTCGGACGGTGTATCGAGTTAAAATTCGTAGACCGAATGCGACGTCAATTCGAATTTAGTGTTGACAGTTTCCAAATTACCTTGGATGTTTTACTGGACCGACCCGACCATCCCAAACCAATCATCACCGCTGAAAGCATGTTTGGTGACATTAACAAGGTTACTTTCTTGTTTCTTTCAAAAGACTCTTTGATTTCATCAGAATTTTGTTATTCTATCGTGTGTTACAATATTATATGAGTATTAGGACTTTTTTTTATGATATCATTTTTTTTTTTTGGAAATGATATATCGAAAAAACGAAACTCAAACGACGGAAACTAGTGTGGCACTAAAGTTTAATTTGATTTAAGATTAAGATTACTTCAAGAATAGAGAAGTAAAGTAAGAGCGATACAAAAGTGATGATACATTATTATCTAACGAAATGCTTCATCATCCCTCCTTGATAACTTTTTTACAGTGCTTTTGAGAATTGCTTCCTTTTCATATCTTCATCCTATTTAAAAAAATAAGGAGAATTAATGTTTCAATTCAGAGGAATAGTAAAATAGACAGTAGCAATAAATAGTTTTCAAAAGGCCTTTTCATCAGGAAAGATGCAAATAAGAGAAATGGTTGGAACGTATAATGAAAGGATTTTATTAATTTCCGGTTTAATTCAATGAAGAACAAAGTTCTCGCATACAAATAAAGTGATTCACTGTAATAATAAAGAAGGCCTGTTACTAGGCGATGGAGTCAGATTATTATGACCTTACCTTAGGACATGAAACTTGATAGAAGAAGAATGTTGTATTTTAGATGGCTTATGACGTAGTATCAACAACTTGCATTCTTTAAAAGAATTTTATTTTTCAGGCATTGCAGCATCTGAACGAACGATTGATTGACACACGAAGGCCTGAGGAGATCCGTGGTGGAGGATTGTTAAAATACTGTCACTTGCTTACTCGCGGTTATAAAGCAGCTAGGCCAAACAAATGCCGTCAGCTCGAGCGGTATATGTGCTCCCGTTTTTTTATTGATTTTCCAGAAGTCAGTAGCCAGGAGGTTAAACTGCGCGCTTATCTTGACAATCATTTCGGTACTGAGGACCAGGTTACTGTTTTGTTAATCATTTTAGGCATTTTAAAAATTTTGACGCATCTTGAAAAAAAAATTAGGCTTTATTCTTTTTTACTGATTGTAAATTTATACCTTTTGTATTTTACGTAACGTTTTAATTCTTATAATATTTGTTATCAATAGATCTATCTCCAAATTTTTCCTTTTACTTTCCCTAAAATTATTCCTTCCATCAGAATGTGTCTTTCTAAAATTCTTCCTTCAAATCTTATGAATTCCACAAATATGCATGAAAAAGTCTCAACTTCTGCGGAAAGATAGGAGCATATT